TCATTCCCATAATATATTTTATATCATCCCTAATATTTTCTAGCTCATCCCTAATATTTTTTAGCTCCATCCCCAGTATTTTCTAGGTCAACCCTAATATTTTCTAGCACATCCGACGTATTTTCTAGCTTATCCACATTATTTTTTTTAGCTCATCGGTAATACCCTCTGGCTTATCCCTTAGATTTTCTATCTCCATCCCCAGTATTCTCTAGCTCATCATCAACATTCCTCAGTATTTTCTAGATCATTCCCAGTATTTTTTTAGCTGATCCTCAAAATTTGCAAGTATTTTCTAGCCCATCCCCAAATTTTTCTCGCTTATCCCAAGTATTCCCCAGTATTTTCTAGCTCAACCCTAATATTTTTTTAGCTCATCCCCAGTATATTCTAACTGAACCCTAATATACTCGAGATCATCCCCACTATTTTGTTGCTCACCCCCAGCATTTTCTAGATTACCCCCACTATTTTCTAGTTCATCTCCATTTTCTAGCTCATCCCCAGTATTTTATAGCTCAACCTAAAGATTTTCTAGCTCATCCCCAGCATTTTGTAGATTACCCCCACTATTTTCTAGCTCATCCCCAGTATTTTCTAGATCAACCTTAAGATTTTCTAGCTCATCCCCACTATTTCCTGGCTCAACCACAGTATTTGGTATCTTTCTTAAAGCCTGTCCATTTGCTTTGCTTTAGATGAAATGAATTCCATTTGTCTTTGAAATAAGTCAAGATATAGACGATTGAAGGAGGTGGGGTTGTCTGGTTTCAGAGGCAAAATTAGCGAAAAAATGGCCGCCAAAGTAATTATTTCCTTAGCTTGAGAGTCTGTGGAAACTGACAACTTACATTTTTATTCCTTTAATCAATGTTTTTCAGTAAAACTCACTCAGAAATGTGTTCTTTACTGGGCATGAGAGGTGTTGGGCCAAGAAAATAAAAATTTGACAAAAATACCTGCAGAAAAATGCCAGTTTCATGTCTTTCCCTTATTTTGACTAGCGCCTGATTTCACCACGCTGCCTCACATTTACGTCACTTGCAACACAAGGAGGCCATACATAAATACCCACGATTAGATGTGCTTCTAGAGAGAAGCGTACAAAGAAGGACAGAGGGGTATTTAATTAATTTAATAGAAAAGAAGGTGAAACCCAAACCAGAACACTCACTAACCACCCACAAAGATATATATATACATATATAGATAACCAGTTTTGAAAACCAACATCCCTAAAATCGGGAAGTATATTTTGTGTGCCCATTTGTAAATATATTTTTTTTTAATTTTTTGTTTTGTTTTGTAGGGTTTTTTTCGGGTTACAGCTGTTTTTGGACTGGTCATGTTTTTGTATGTGGACTCCACTGTAGATACCACCAGTAGGCCCTACATGTTTTTGTTTGTTTAGTTGAGGTTTTTTATTTTGTTGTTGTTTTGTAAAAATTGATATTGTACCCTTCAAGGAAAATGAGACATCTCTATTGCATACCATGTAGAGATCTTATAACATTATTAATTTTAGCCAGCAAGCCTAGCTACTTAGTGTCACACACATGCAAAATTAGATCAGTTAAATTTGTAGGCCCTATTTATTTTGTTTATATCTTTTTAACTTACTTATTTTTTAAAATTATTTTTTAAATTTTTTAATTTTTTAATTTTTTTTTGGGGGGGGGGAGGGGACGGCAGAACTAGATTTTAGCAAGAGCTAAGGATGATAGTCTTTTGATAGAAAAGAAGGCGAAAACCACTTCAAAGCACCCGCCAAGCACCCTCACAGATTAATTATTAATTAACCAGAATTTTGACAACCACAGTTTCTAAAATCTGGAGATATAATTTTGTCTGTGCATTTTTTGGAGGAAGGGGGTGTGCTGCTTTTTTTTGGAGTGACTGTGTTTATTTTAAGCAGAGTCAACTGTAGATTCTGGTCTTTTAATTACGTGATGGGATCAAGAAGAAGAAAAAAGAAGCATGGTGCGGTTTGTTTGAGAGGGGGGGGTTGTTGTTTTTTTTTGTTGTTGCTTTTTTTTGTTAGTTAGTTTGTTCGTTTTTGATAGGCTGTGTGTCACAACGCGGTGGAATTAGGTGCTCGTCAATATCTGGGCATGTGGAGTTATTGGTATCAACTTGAAGCTTTTTAATTTGTCTTTTTGTTGATGAAAAAATATCCATTCAATCTTGAATACAAGCTTAGATATCCACGATCTATATGGACATAATTTTAGTCAGCAAACCTACCTAACTTCACACAGATACTTATTTATTGATTTACCTAGTTATCAATTTATTTATTTATTTATCTATCTATTTATTTATTTATTTCATTATATTTTTATTAATTTCATTTATTTTTT